GGGTCTGGGCACGCAGCAGCACAAGGATGGGGTGCCCAGCGCCACTCCCAGCCCCCCCAAACCCAGCTGGGGTGACCTGCTCCCAGTTCCTGTCCTGTGGCTGGGATGGGGATTGGGGTCACCTCCCTCGCCCCACTCAGGGTCCCAATCCTTGTGGAAGCACCTCCTGTCATCCCCTGGGGATTTGGGACTCCAGCAGCACCCCTGGGTGCTGATCCAGCTGCCACAAATGAGTGGGAAGGGGCTTTTCAGGGATCAGGTGGGTGATCCCTGGATCCTTCTCTCCTCCCTCCATCCCGTGCTCCCCATGGAAGGGGTGAAGGCCAGGCTGGGCCCTGGGCCAGGCCGGTGTCACCCTGACACTCTGGGTTGTCACAGAGGCTCAGGCTGGGCTGTGCTGCTGGAGAGACACCAGTACCCGGGGGTGGGGGGCACAGGGTGACAGCTTGGGGTGTCCCACAGCGGGTCCACAGCTCCAGGAGCACCGGGAAAAGGGAGTGTCCCCATCCTGGTGTCAGCTCAGGAACTGGGCTGAGACCCGGCAACTCACCTCACCCCCGGGGCTGTCGCTTCACTGGAGGGATTTGAACACCCCAGGAGCAGCCCCCCAGGGTGGGGGGGGACCCCCAAGAGTGGGGCTGACCCCACAAACCTCCCTCCCCTGCGCAGGTCTGGCTCCAGAGATCCCTCCTGCGTGGTCAAGGTGGGCAACGAGTTGGTGGCCGGGTAGGGGGACACTGTCCCACCCTGGGAGGGGACACGTGGGGACAGGGAGGTGCAGCCACCTCTCCCCTCCCTGGGGACAGGACAGGTGTGGAAGAACCTTGAGCCCTTTTTGGGGGGAGGAATTCACCCTGAGCTTGAGGAGAGGAGAGGCTGGGGACAGGGGTGACACAGGGCTTGTCCTCCCCTCTCCACACCAGGAAGGGCCCTCGCTGTGTCCAGCTTGGGGACAGCAGTGATGCCAACCCGTGTGTGACGATGCTCTGAGGGCTCAGTGGGGAATATGGTGCCAGCCCTGCTTGGGGACAGGGGGACAAGGGGCAGAGCTGGTGGCACAGAGGGCCACGGGGTACCCGGGGTCAGTCCCCCTCAGACTGCTTGGCTCCCACGCTGGGTTT